AGCCAAAAACACGTCACCCATAAACTCCCCTTCCTGATCACTTCTAGTACATAATACTGTTCTGAACGGCATTACATCCGCAAGAAACTTGTCAGTTGCTCGTACTGTGTTATTTTTAAACTTCAAAAGGTAAATTATGATGAAACCTGAATAGTCATCAAAACAACCCAATGCATATCGAAAACCATCTTTTGCAGTTGGCTCCAGATCTAAAGCGATGTAGCTCGTTTGTCGGGCTCTGGGTTTCCATACGGGATCATCTTACCCTGAACACATATTCCACAGTCTTCTGTCAAGGATTTCCATACCATCAACTACACTTTCTAATTTCAAAATATCTTCAACAATACAATGGCCCATAATTCATGCCATTATTTAAGTGAATGACGAGTTTTCTCGTGATTCTTTGAAATCATGCTATTCAAATAATACAAATTCTCTCTTTTTCCGAATATTGAATGTTGTGCTTTTTGTACGTAGTTGGAAGAATTTGGTATAAACTCAATACTAGTTCCCCTCTTGGTTGCTGCTTGGACAGAGAAAATATTCTGAGTAAAAGTAGACACATACAAGTTTCTACCTGCATCTACTATCATTTGGGGGGTTTAGTATTATAATAATAATTTTTAAACAATGCCTTCCACAAACTGTAGTTTCAGTTAAACATCAGTTAGTGATATTGAATCTATTAAATTGACACAAGCATCACCTCGCTTGAGTGCAAGACCATTTGATCTGCTGCCATCGGCAAGTTCGATAAAATGTGAAGCATCGAAATCACTATCAAACCTAACAAACTTTGACTCATCATTTACGATGTGAGTATTTGCACCGCAATCAACTAGCAACCCAATCCAATTTACTCGTCAACTCAATTTTACTTACACCTATTTTGAAACAAAATGAATAATTTTCACTAGCTTCACTATCCGGATGTGGAGAACAGTCTTTCGCTATGGTCAACATATTTTACATTGTTCTCATTTTCCATATTGTGTATTTTTAGTTCTGCTCTGAATGAAGCTGTATGATTATTATTTTGCCTTTTGAACTCATTTAATTACTGTCAGTACTCTCTCTATGGGATTTCAATATTAGTAAAACTGCAAAACACGTGTTGAATTCGTTTTAAAATACCTTTATTTAACTTGAGAGGGCAACATAATGCCCATGCTGGTAATCTTCTCTCTTACCTTAGTTACCTCAGCAGGTGGTTGAAGGTCTTGAACTTGCTTCAACAATGGAGCTAAGCTCCATGCTTCAACTAATGTGATCACGGTTGGAACCGCATTATTATGGATTAGAACTTCCACTGCCTGGAATATTCAACATTATCTCCGTGATATTATGAATATTTTGAGGGGAGTAAATTCAAGGAAAGTTTGAACTCTGAGAATATCAAAACTGCACAACACAAGTCACCTGAAAACAAGTGTGATTCGTTTCATACACACTGTTTAATATAAATGATAACTTGGAGTGATAGAAAGGTT